ATACAAGTACATAGCAACAATAAGTCTTTTGTGTTTGCATGAAACATTCCAAGCAACGACACACTCGTGCATGACTATATATATATATTCACACCAGGCATGGCAATAAAGCATCTTTGATGCAAGACGTTGCTGAGTTAGTGAGAATATGAGATAAATTTACTTTTAAGTAGACATTCAAAGAACAAACTTTAAAAAGACAGTAGATAATGCTTTCAAATGCATTTAAATTTTGGAAGATCAAATTTAAATAGAAAGCTAGAAGCTTTAAGAAATTTGCATAAGCGAGAATTCCGAGAGACTCTTTATATAGAACTAAAGGTTAGTAGCCAATTCAATTCTAAATTGATGAGATTTGTTGCCAATCTAGTACCGCGCTTATATTCATAAAGTCTAGGTGTAATAAAGAAAATTTAATCAGAACAATTACGATGGCCTCGGAAGTCGGAACCCGCTAATGAATGTGTAACAACTCACCTGCCGAATCGACCAGCCCCGGAAATGGATGGCGCTGGAGCGACGGACCGATGCCAGACCGTCGCGGCGAGGAGCGCCTGCGATGGAAACAAACACGATACGCCCGCCTGACCGATGTCGCGACGCGTAGGAGGGTGCCGCGGTGAGCACGGAAGCCTTGGGCTTGAGCCCGGGTGGAGACGACCGCGGGTGCAGATCTCGGTGGTAGTGGCAAATATTCGAACGAGACCTTCGAAGATCGAAGTGGAGAAGGGTTCTGTGCCAACGGCGGTCGAGCACGTGTCAGTCGGTCCTAAGACGCAGGCGAAAGTCTTCCCGAAAGGCACTGAATCCAAAAGTCTCGCGGCGACGGCGGCAGCGACAGCAAGCAAGTACAAAAAGAAATGACCATAGCAGCAGACGTTGTAGCACCGTCGCATGTATACCCTTCTTTATATTTTATCAAGAATCTCTAAATCCGTAGCAGAACCACCGTACCAGATTCGACACCAATATTCAATCCATGGACGAATTGTAGATAAATGTGTAAAATAGATTCTGTCGTTAAGATTACTTAGCACGAGACAGTGAGTCAAATTTCCCCGCAGCAGGTCAATTGAATCAATACAAACTTTCTACTTCATATCTATGTTTATTTATATATTTTTCTGTTTTAGTCAATTTTAGGAAGGTGATAATGCCACTAAGACGTAAGGAGTGAAACCGAATTAAGAATGAACCTGGAAAGCCAATCCTAAGAGGCACCCAGGTACTTTTTGTTTAAAAGACAGAGGAGAAGTGTGAATCAGACCATAGGCGAACCTTTCTGCTCCTATTGTGGAAAATTTAAAAAAAATAAATCGTAAATCAAGTTTCAGTGTTTACGTTCTTAAGGTGAAATGATTAAAAACAAAATCGGTACCTAGAAATGACAGGGGAAAAAAAACGAGTGTAGCTTTTAGGAGAAAAGTTCTGAGCACTAAATAACGAAAGGGCGTAGCTGAGAAAGCTAATCTTGAATATTCTCAATATCAATTCAGTTTTGCCGGAAACACAACCGCAAGTTTAGGCAACAAAGTCATGCCTGATCTCACGGGATCAGGGTTTGCTGGATAATGTTTCTGAACATTGCTCCAAAACGCGGCTCCATGATACTTCTGAAGACGTTGACACCGAGATCAGCTTCGAAATTACTAATCAGGTAATTATATACAGGATTACATTGCTAACGATTACTTCAAGATCTGGCACCGTTCTCGACTGGTCGGTCAATGTATCTGTTGAGCTGCCTCACACCTTATCTGTCTGTTCATTTATCTTTTGAGATAAATCGACATATATACATTTAAATATGAAACTGCATTGAAATCAAATAATATCTTTTTTTAATAGCTATCTGTGCCTCAAAAGAAGGAAAATGAATGAAATTTACTTACTCTTTTTCTAAATAAATATTATATCATTACATATTAAGATGAAATCTATGACGCATGTGTGTGTACACACTATTTCTCTTTCATTCTTTCTCTCTCACGGCTTTCTTTCTCTCTTTCTCTCTCTTACTATCTCTTTCTCTCTCTTACTATCTCTTTCTCTCTCTTACTATCTCTTTCTCTCTCTTACTATCTCTTTCTCTCTCTTTCCATCTCTTTCTCTCTCTCTCTTTCTCTCTTTCCATCTCTTTCTCTCTTTCTCTCTTTCCATCTCTTTCTCTCTTTTTTTTTCTTCTTTCTTTCTCTCTTCCATCTCTTTCCATCTCTTTCTTTCTCTTTCCATCTCTTTCTCTCTCTTTCATCTCTTTCCATCTTTTCTCTCTCTTTTTTCTCTTTCCATTAATTTTCTCTCTTTCTCTCTTTCTATCTCTTTCTCTCTCTCTTTCTCTCTTTCCATCTCTTTCTCTCTTTTCTCTCTTTCCATCTCTTTCTCTCTCTTTCTCTCTTTCCATCTCTTTCTCTCTCTTTTCTCTTTCTTTCTCTTTCTCTCTCTCTTTTCTCTCTCCATCTCTCTCTTCTCTCTCTCTTTTTCTCTCTCTCTCTCTCTTTCTCTCTCTCTCTTTCTCTCTCTCTTTCTCTTTTCTCTCTCTCTTTCTCTCTTTTCTCTCTCTCTCTCTTTCTCTCTTTTTCTCTCTCTTTCTCTCTCTTTCTCTCTTTTCTCTTTTTTCTCTTTCCATCTCTTTTCTCTCTTTTTCTCTTTCCCTCTCTTTTCTCTCTTTTTCTCTCTTTCCATCTCTTTCTCTCTTTCCATCTTTCTTCTCTCTCTTCTCTCTTTTCTCTCTCTCTCTCTCTCTTTTCATTCTTTCTCTCTCTTTCTCTCTTTCCATCTCTCTCTTTCTCTCTTTCTCTCTTTTCTCTCTTTCTCTCTCTTTCTCTCTTTCCATCTCTTTCTCTCTCTTTCTCTCTTTCCATCTCTTTCTCTCTCTTTCTCTCTTTCCATCTCTTTCTCTCTCTTTCTCTCTTTCCATCTCTTTCTCTCTCTTTCTGTGTATCTCTCTGTTTTTCTGTATCCCTTTCTATGCAAGTTAGATTATATATCCCAATTTTTTTGTCAATTCGCCTAAAGGTTGGCGATAATGCCACTAAGACGCAAGTGGCTACTGGAAGTGAAAGAGAATGAAAAGATGTTAAAAGGGACGGGAAACTCGATCTTAAATAGAGACCAAGAGATAAACGTCTACTCCTGTTGAAATGACGAATCTACATCAGTTGAGAAGAAAGAAGAAGAAAAATAGTAAAGAAAATTTCAGTCCAAAATGAGACGTTAGAATTATAAAGCTGAAGTAGACTTTAGAAGCAACCGAAAATCCATTTCTAGACAGCAAGTAAGAGATAAACCTTTACTCCTTTTGAAAAGACCGGCGAGGAGTGTGAACCGGATGCTATGGGAACCTATCTAATCCTATTGATTTTATCTGTCTGTCTATCTATCTGTTTGTCTATGTGTGTGTCAAATTCCCCAAGCAGTCTTTCCTCATATCTCCTAGATGATTCAACTGTTTAAGTGTCTTCCTTCTTATTCTCCCATCCATACCCACAAGCTATTTCAAAAGGTTCTTCGCTGCATTTTCAGTTTCTTTTGCCGGCACTATTTCTTGTGAGTGTCAAAGTTGTCAAGCTGTTTTTCCTCATCCATGTCTGTTTTCCGAACCATCTGTATGCTTATCCATGTCTGTCTAAATAAATAAATTAATTAAATAAAAGGTTTACAAGTATTAATTCCCTTGAAATCCTTTTCTCTCTCTCTAAATCTTCAAGTACAAATGTTTACAATTTCAACTCCATTGAAAGCACTTACTTTCTCTTACGCTATCTATGCTAAACTAATTGAATCTAAAAAAATATTAGTAAATCTAAACATCTTAGTTTAATGTCTTGTATGCAAATTAATAATGTAATGTATATTCAGATTGCTGCTACAGTGAATTTTGAGTTAACAGACTATGAAATCTATCAGAGATACCGTCCTGAGTATGTCGATAAACTGCATCTGCATCCTGGGTTAGACGATAAACTACACCGTCCTGGGTATGGACGATAAACTGCATCCGCGTCCTGGGTATGGACGATAAACTGCATCCGCGTCCTGGGTATGGACGATAAACTGCATCTGCGTCCTGTGTATGGACGATATACTGCATCTGCGTCCTTGGTAAAGACGATAAACTACGCCGTACTGTGTATGGACGATTTACTGCATCCGCGTCCTGGGTAAGACGATAAACTACACCGTCCTGTGTATGGACGATTTACTGCATCCGCGTCCTGGGTATGACGATTTACTACATTCGCGTCCATGGAAAGACGATAAACTACGTCCAAAAGCAAGGCCTCTGATCAGGAGGTTTGGGAGCGCGTGGAACCACCTCTTAATTGCTGGTGTTCCCAGTTCCACCCTGACCCAGGGTAGTAGCACCTTTTAGGGTTCCAGCTATGGGCAAATAGTTAAGCCAGAAAGTGAGGTAAAAAGCATGAAAGTGTAAAAATAGGTTTTAATACCAGAAATAAAATTTTTGAGGAAAAACTGTTGCCAGCAATACGCTTTTGAAAAAAATATTATCGGCAATATATGTTTTTTTCAATAATAATACCAGGAAAAAAAGTTGTCAGCATTAAATGACCCATTGAGTTTGATATGCCGTAAAACAAACTGTTAGAGAGAGATGAAATTTATTTTTTGTTATTGCATTATTCCAGAATTTTAACACATCAGGAGATAATTATTAATGTCAATCACTGTGTGCAATTAGTTATTAATTTTTAAAAAAAATAGTAAATAATGCATAATAGTATCGATAACTACATGTACAAGAATGCTTTTTTTATAAGAATTAATAAATAACAAATACTTAAAAAAAATGCGTATATTGTTGAATATCACTTTTTACACAATATAGCTATTTGTACTATGTCATAATATTTATTACTTAAACAATAATTTAATGATTATTTTTTTTATAAACATTAAAGTATATTTAATCACATCTGCCTAATAGATGTTGAGATCTCTAAGAAAGAAGCGATGATAAAATGTCTTATGTCATTTGTCCTATGGGAGTTCAAATACGAGACTTAAATATTTTGGTTGAACATTCTTGTGAGAGACCCACACTACCCTGCGTCTCTCTCTTTCCCTCTCTGTTTTTTGCTCTCTCTCTCTCTTCCTCTGTCTCTTTATTTTCTTCTTTTATCTCTCTCTTTTTATCACTCTGCCTCTTTTTTCTCCCTCACTCTTTCTCTCTCTCTTTTTCTCTTTTATTTCTATCTCTTTTCTCTCTCTGCCTCTCTGTTTCTCTTTTTCTTTGTGACTTTTCTCTGTCTCTCTCTTTTTCTCTGTCTCTCTCTTTTTCTCTGTCTCTCTCTCTTTTTCTCTGTCTCTCTCTTTTTCTCTGTCTCTCTCTCTTTTTCTCTGTCTCTCTCTCTCTTTTTCTCTGTCTCTCTCTCTCTTTTTCTCTGTCTCTCTCTCTCTTTTTCTCTGTCTCTCTCTCTCTCTTTCTCTGTCTCTCTCTCTTTTTCTCTGTCTCTATTTTCTTCCTCTTTCTCTTTCTGTGTTACCTATACCTCTAGTAATTTCTACTTCCACTTGAAGACTTAGCCCTGATACCAATCCGACAAACTAAATTATGTGCTAAATATATAAATTCGTTCTTTTTTTTTATTATTTCTTCTATATGCTGTGTTCTTTCGTTACGTAGGCGATCATATCGACATACACATTCAATTCTTTGTAGCTAAATTAACATTTTGTACTTTCGCTATCTCATGCATGTGAGGGTGGTGTAATAGATAGCCGCTCGGAATGTGAAATTGAAGAGCCGATTTCGAATTACAGTCGGGTTAGTTACATTCACTTACGCGCAAATATCCATTAAAAAGGTATAAATTCTTTCCCTCCTCCAACTACGCGGTAAATGGTAAGACGTGTTGATGCAATATTCACTCGAGAAAAAAAACAGTTCCTACAATACCAAATATATATTTAACTTTAAATATCGCACAATGGTTGGTAAGCAGTGAAAAAAATAAAACAAAAAAAAAACAAATCAATAAATTCATAGCCCTACCAGTACTTTATTCTCCGATCCATTCCCACAAGCTACCTAGGTTACTCGTTGCTGTTCTCAGCCTATCCAGCCACCACTATTTCCTGTGAGTGTCAAATTCAACAAGCCGTCTTTCCTCATCACCGAGAAGTTTGAACTGTTTAAATGACCTCCTTCTTATTCCCCCATCCATTCTCTCAAGCTAGCTCAGCAGGTTACTCGCTGCTTTTCTCATCCCTTCTTGCCACAATTATTTCCTACGAGTGTCAAGTTCACCAAGCCGTTTTTTCTCATATGTCCTAGAAATGTCAACTATCCTTCTGTCCATTTTTCATTAAAAATGTCCTTGTTGCTCACACGTTCTGTCCGTAGCAATCTATTCACCCTTCTTTAGAACTACATTTCTTTTACTTTGTCTTTCTCTCATCTGTATTGACATTGTCCAGGGTGCCCTGATCTAGAGGAGGAATGATATTACATAACAATTCAGCGCTTCTTCTCTTCGCTGCTCACGAACTACCATCGGCTTAACTGCGAAGAAGAGAATTCCATTTATTCGAACAATTCAGACGTCGAATGGAAATAATCCCACACGGCTATCAAGTGTATGCTTCGTTAGTTTAATCCAAGCATATTTACCACCTGGAGTTCCTGACCCGTAAACACTAATGGACTTGGCGAAAGAGAACAGCAAGTTTCATTATTCTTGTGATCTTTTGTTTACTTATTTTAGCCTTAATTAACTATAAATATTGACAAGCTGCAAAACCACACAACTGCATTGATATAAAATCTTTGAGAACGTTGTCATTATTTTTTTTTCTTTCTCGAGATTTCTAAAGGTTAGAAGCATTAGTGTTATAAAATTTACTTATTGATATTGAAAAACGAAGATATAGTTCGTTTTTTTTCTTGGCAATCAATTAGCTTCGAGCAGTATCACTCGTTAACATTACCGTCTCTACACGTTAATGTCACTGGAATCAATATATTTTAAGATCGACTAACATTATCTTTATTTGATAGCACACAAGGGCGTTTTAATGTCGTCCAGTGTGTTCTCATTTTTTTTTCTAAAACTTTTCCGTGATTTAAAATTCCATGCCAAGCTAGAGTAGATCATTGCTTTTACGGTTTTCCCGCTTGAAAAGGGTTTAAAAATGTGTTAATATTTCAGATATTCGTATCACAAATTCTAGAATATCTATTTCGAATTTGATAGGCTTTCGGATTGAATCGAAGAATTCACGAATACAAAAGAAAAAATTATCTAAATTTCTTTAATCACTAGAACGATATGCCAAATAATTAAATGTTTTCCAATGAATCTACATTAATTTCATTTCTATCCATTTATCTATTTTCCTTATCTATTTGTCTACAACGGTGTGCCCAGATGTATGTAACTATGTATGCATGTATCTATCTATCTCCTTAGATATTCTCTCTCTCTCTGCCTATCTATCTAATGTCCTTACATATATCTATCTAATGTCCTTACATCTATCTATCTATCTATCTATCTATCTAGTGTCCTTACATCTATCTATCTATCTAGTGTCCTTACATCTATCTATCTATCTAGTGTCCTTACATCTATCTATCTATCTAGTGTCCTTACATCTATCTATCTATCTAGTGTCCTTACATCTATCTATCTATCTATCATCTATCTATCTATCTAGTGTCCTTACATCTATCTATCTATCTAGTGTCCTTACATCTATCTATCTAGTGTCCTTACATCTATCTATCTAGTGTCCTTACATCTATCTATCTAGTGTCCTTACATCTATCTATCTAGTGTCCTTACATCTATCTATCTATCTAGTGTCCTTACATCTATCTACCTATCTAGTGTCCTTACATCTATCTACCTATCTAGTGTCCTTACATCTATCTACCTATCTAGTGTCCTTACATCTATCTACCTATCTAGTGTCCTTACATCTATCTACCTATCTAGTGTCCTTACATCTATCTACCTATCTAGTGTCCTTACATCTATCTATCTAGTGTCCCACATCTATCTACCTATCTGTCCTTACATCTATCTACCTATCTAGTGTCCATACATCTATCTACCTATCTAGTGTCCTTACATCTATCTACCTATCTAGTGTCATCTATCTCTATCTACCTATCTAGTGTCCTTACATCTATCTACCTATCTAGTGTCCTTACATCTATCTACCTATCTAGTGTCCTTACATCTATCTACCTATCTAGTGTCCTTACATCTATCTACCTATCTAGTGTCCTTACATCTATCTACCTATCTAGTGTCCTTACATCTATCTACCTATCTAGTGTCCTTACATCTATCTACCTATCTAGTGTCCTTACATCTATCTACCTATCTAGTGTCCTTACATCTATCTACCTATCTAGTGTCCTTACATCTATCTACCTATCTAGTGTCCTTACATCTATCTACCTATCTAGTGTCCTTACATCTATCTACCTATCTAGTGTCCTTACATCTATCTACCTATCTAGTGTCCTTACATCTATCTACCTATCTAGTGTCCTTACATCTATCTACCTATCTAGTGTCCTTACATCTATCTACCTATCTAGTGTCATCTATCTACCTATCTAGTGTCCTTACATCTATCTACCTATCTAGTGTCCTTACATCTATCTACCTATCTAGTGTCCTATCTACCTATCTATCTTATCTATCTACCTATCTAGTGTCCTTACATCTATCTACCTATCTAGTGTCCTTATCATCTATCTAGTGTCTATCTACCCATCTAGTGTCCTTACATCTATCTACCTATCTAGTGTCATTCTATCTATCTATCTAGTGTCCTTACATCTATCTACCTATCTAGTGTCCTTATCTATCTACCTATCTAGTGTCCTTACATCTATCTACCTATCTAGTGTCCTTACATCTATCTACCTATCTAGTGTCCTTACATCTATCTACCTATCTAGTGTCCTACATCTATCTACCTATCTAGTGTCCTTACATCTATCTACCTATCTAGTGTCCTTACATCTATCTACCTATCTAGTGTCCTTACATCTATCTACCTATCTAGTGTAATACATCTACACCTATCTAGTGTCCTTACATCTATCTACCTATCTAGTGTCCCTATCATCTAGTGTCCCCACATCTATCTACCTATCTAGTGTCCTTACATCTATCTACCTATCTATTACATCTATCTACCTATCTAGTGTGTACATCTATCTACCTATCTAGTGTCCTTACATCTATCTACCTATCTAGTGTCCTTACATCTATCTACCTATCTAGTGTCCTTACATCTATCTACCTATCTAGTGTCCTTACATCATATCTAGTGTCCTTACATCTATCTACCTATCTAGTGTCCTTACATCTATCTACCTATCTAGTGTCCTTACATCTATCTACCTGTATGTCCTTACATCTATCTACCTATCTAGTGTCCTTACATCTATCTACCTATCTAGTGTCCTACATCTATCTACCTATCTAGTGTCCTTACATCTATCTACCTATCTAGTGTCCTTACATCTATCTACCTATCTAGTGTCCTTACATCTATCTACCTATCTAACTATGTATGCATGTATCTATCTATCTCCTTAGATATTCTCTCTCTCTCTGCCTATCTATCTAATGTCCTTACATCTATCTATCTATCTATCTATCTATCTAGTGTCCTTACATCTATCTATCTAGTGTCCTTACATCTATCTATCTAGTGTCCTTACATCTATCTATCTAGTGTCCTTACATCTATCTATCTAGTGTCCTTACATCTATCTATCTAGTGTCCTTACATCTATCTATCTAGTGTCCTTACATCTATCTATCTAGTGTATACATCTATCTATCTAGTGTCCTTACATCTATCTATCTAGTGTATACATCTATCTATCTAGATACATCTATCTATCTAGTGTCCTTACATCTATCTATCTATCCTTACATCTATCTATCTAGTGTCCTTACATCTATCTATCTAGTGTCCTTACATCTATCTATCTAGTGTCCTTACATCTATCTATATGTATGTAACTATGTATGCATATCTATCTATCTCCTAGATATTCTCTCTCTCTCTGCATATCTATCATAATGTCCTTACATCTATCTATCTATCTATCTATCTATCTATCTAGTGTCCTTACATCTATCTATCTATCTAGTGTCCTTACATCTATCTATCTATCTAGTGTCTTACATCTATCTATCTCTCTCTCTCTCTCTATATATATATATATATATATATATATATATATATATATATATATATAATGTCTGTATCTAACGTCCTTAGATATTAGTCTCCCCTCTCTGTGCCTGTATCTACCTATTTATCTACAATATTATATTATATATATATATATATATATATATATTCCGTTACAAACATGCTGATGGAACTCATTCCAGGATTTTCTTCGTGACGCCCCTTTGACTGACATCTTCAATATCCCAATTAAACATTGCACCACTGAGATTTCTTCTTGGGTCAAAGCCGGCATGGACACTTTAATCATTTCTACGAAATACCAGGTGAAACCGCTATCCTCTCCATTGTTTACACCAGCGTGCTCGGCCGCCATAGCACATGGAAACCACTATTTGCGGTTGTCATCATCATCTTGCGGCATCAACTGAGATTGAACTGACCAATACTTTGTAGTTCATAATCTTGTCAAATAGCTGAATTCTTGATGCTTCGCTAGGGCTATCAAGGGTGTTTTTATCGTGACACCAACACTAAATGGATTGTCAACCAAGGCTCAGAGAGACTCCATTCACCCTCCTCTAAGAGCAGGTTTGAATTCAAACTTTTCCTTCTCCTAGACCAGTTGCCATCCAAGTCTATAGAACCCAGTCTGTCCTGCTATTTACCCATACCTAGAGGGAGAAGAAAGAGGATTCACACCTTTCCCAAGAGTGTTAGCACAAGTGAATTTAATGGATTCGACTGGAATTCGAACTCGGCTCTCCGATTCCTCAATCCAAGCCGCTATCCATTACTCCACCGTGCCTCCCTCTCTCGTCACAACAGGTGCCTATTTGCTACTAATAAATGTAATCGAGTCCTAGAAAGAGAGTAATCCCTGAAAGAATGAGGCCCTGCATAAACTCTAAATCTTTGGCTCTCGGGATTATTGGTGTCTCCGTAATAGGGTGCTAAATAACTTCAAGTTCTCTATTCTCCATCTCGTCATTCGATTTGATCTGATGTCATCCTGAATTCTCCTCAAACTCTACTCTTCACTAATCTGGAGTATCCCTGCCTAACTTAACACTTAGAATTGATTTTCTGTTGAGTAATATGCATATAACCGCTTCCATGGTTTCCGCTATCATCTTTAACCTTGATCCCCACAAAGCATGTGGACCCGATGGTCTCCCTGTAATATTCAGTAAGAAATGTACTCCTGAACTGGGTCCATCTTCTCTCTGAAATCTATAATTCGTGCCTCGCTACCTCCTGCTTCCCTGACTGAAAGAACCCGTCGACTATTGTTCCAGTTTTGAAGAACTCTGATTAACCCTCCAACTTATCCAACAATCGACCTATTAGCCTTCTACCTATTTTGAAGAAACCCCTAGAGACCGTAATCAATGCTAAATTGGCGCATCTCTAATCTCAGGGCCTTTTCTCGGACAAACATTACGGATTTCGTTTTTCCAGGTCAGCTGCTGATGTACTAAAGATTAGCGGAAAGAGTCTATGATTCACTTGATAAAAAAAAGTGAAGTCAAGGCTTTAGCGTTGGACATGTCGAAAGCCTTTGACAAAGTCTAGCATTCAGATCTTCTCCAAAAGCTGAAAAGTTACGGTATCTCCGGGGGCACATTTTTGAGCTGATCCAGTCATTCTTATCAAATCGTAAAATGAAAGTTGTCCTGAGCAGCCATTCATCTATATCCTTATGTACTAACGCGAGTGACCTCTAGGGCTCCATTCTTGGTCCTACGCTGTTTTTAATCTTCATTAACGAATTTCCCGATGACATCAGTTCTCAACTTGAAATCTACGCTGACAGAAGTTACCATTTATTCGTGCCACGATACTTAAGCTGGTCTGTCCGAAAAGATCAAAATGGCAGATGGTACAAAGGTACCTCATGATCATCGTTAAATGTGGGAAAAATGGCTTGTCAATTTTAAGGCCTCCCAAGACTATACTTCTCTTTATTAAGCATCTGAGAGGCTCCTCTCTGCTTTCCATCAGCATGGCTGATGCTAACTTCCAGGAAAGATTGCGCCTTCTCGGGAGAACGTTCTCAGCTGACATTAAGTGGAGATCCCTTGCTAGGTCAGCTGCTAATCTCTCGAGCGAGATAATTTCTCTCTCCGGAATCTATTTTGCATAGCTATAAGTTTACCATCCGTCCATGCTTTGGATATTACTTCGATATATGGTCCGGTGCCCCTGCTATTTAACTGGAGCTCCTTGATAAGATCGAAAGAAGAATCAGCAATACTCCTGGTTTTGATCTGGTTGCTCGGCTTCAGTCACTTGGCCACCGCCCTCTCTGTGCCTCTTTATAAAAACTTTCATAGTAGTTGTTGCGATGAGATCTTCCCTGTGACACCCACACTGCGTGAATTTAAGCACAATACTAGAGTGGCGAAGATGTAGCCGTAACTTCTATCCTAACTCTTTCTGTTTTTCGCACATCTCACTTGTGGAACGCCCTGGCAGTTCTATGCTTTCTAGTCAACTTTAATCTGCAAAAAAATAAATAAAATATCAATCGCTATCTAATTTCCTCCTGATTTTCTTCTCTTTCTAATCATTACTAATGTTTCTGTTTCTAATTCTTCCATACCCTGTAACACCTTGCGTATTTTTTTGGCTCTACTGCCTTTTTTGGGGTGACACCGATTATACATACATATATATATATATATATATATATATATATATATATATATATATATAATCCGTAGGTGGAAAGGAGAAGTAGGTATTTTAATATAAAATAATAAAGAGATACTTCCATGAAAAGAGCTCATTGTATTGTACTCTATACAGTGACAATATGATATACATCAAAGGTAGGAACTTAACACATCTTGAACAATTTAAAAATTTGCCTGCCGAAATAAATTTATTATAGGATTTTTCGAGATGTATTAAGTTTTTTCCTTTGAGATTTATATATATATATATATATATATATATATATATATGTGTGTGTGTCATTCACAGACAAATTGTTTGGCTGTATCACAGCTCATCAGTGTGGCTATAAATGCGATTGCTTCAAGCCGGGATCGAAACACGACCGATTTGACATCAGTACCACTCTTATGCTATCAGCGCGCGCAGCGGAGTAAGGGGATTTTTAACGCGAGGTATAAACATTACCGACTACCAGAGTGCTATATTCATAGCGAATAACTTTTAGATTTAATTAACAGCAGCCGACGAAATCCCTTTCTTGGGCGTATATTATGGCTCTCCACTTCTTTCGTGGGCGTATATAGTCATCCACAGACAAACTCATTTGTTGTATCACAGCTCATCAGTGTGGATTGAAATGACATTGCTTCATGCCGGAATATATTTCTTTCCCTCTCTGTGCCTATATCTATCTAATATCCTTATATATTCATCTACTTTTCTGTGTCTCTATCTAATTTCTTTTTATATTTGTATAACTCTCCGTGTTTCTATCTATTTCTATAACTATATTTGCCTTTATCCATCTATCTAATTTACCTATCTATATTCCGACCTCTGTGTTTATCTATCTCATTTCCCTATCTATCTGTCTGCTTCTCTCTCTCTTTCTCATATATATAGTTAAGCTGAAGTTAATTTTGCTCCTTTCTGTTAAAATTACATTTTTCGCTTGTCTTGTTGTCTTTCGTATAAAATAACGTTATGTGCCTAATGTTTTGCTTTGTCTTGTAACTAAGTATACATCTGCAACTATATCTCTAGTATTTTTGATTGCAAACCGTTATTAAAATGGAAATCATTCCAACATAAGTAAAAAATAAAGGCTATAGCATGAAAAACTATGCGCAGTGTTAATAAGAATCATATTTACATATGTAATTCAATTCCAATCGGCTGATTTATGGAGATGTTTCAGTAAATCAGTAGAATTAGCAAGGATAACCGGAAATCTATTTTCCTACACCTGGCTTAAAACACGAAAATGTATATTTTAAATACTTTAATTTTTGTAAGCAAATCAAAAACACGCCTTTTACTTTTTAAAATATTCATGAATTATTGAAATGTATGCATTTCTGGACAAAGAAATTGAAGTTTGAATCAGTTAATCATGCCATGCATGGGGAGTCTCCTTAACAGGATATTCACCATCACAACATACACTACTCAAACAATTAAAAGTGTACAAAGTAATTAATATCTAACGAAAACAAATATTTTAAATAGTTTAACATTTTTAAGCAAAACTAATACTTTTTTAAAATATGCATGAATTATTGAAATGAGGATTCTTTTCTGGACAAATATATTAACTCTTAAATAAAGCAAAACCTTCTAAGTATGGTGTGTCTCCTTAACTGGATAATCCGCTGTAGTAATAAAATAAGCAAATCCCATCTCCCCTCTCGTTTGTAATCAACCACTAAAATTAAATAAACGTTTTTCCGCACGAAAGCTGAGTTAGTCAAGTAAAGCTACATAAACTTCTACTTAGAGTTGTTGCAATATTCTATCTACCATAAAAACATGGCGATCTCAAACAAACTAAAAGTTTACAAGGTAATGGCTCTCAATTCGCTCCCTATGCATGCGAAACGTGTACATTGTACCACAGGCACATCAATAAATACGTAACTTTTCATGTGCGTGCTGTTCGCTCCACATTTAGAATCTCGATAGAGGATCACATCATTAAAATTTAAATTAAATCAATGCTCATCAAGGCACAAGTCCGATGGGCTGACCACGTCATCCGCTTGGAGCAATATCGGATTTCCCGGCGCCTGGCATCAAGGTCGGCCCCCAAAAATGTTATAAAGACGAAAATCAAATCTAACCTACACTAGTTTAAGACCAGATCGAAGGAGTTGGAGATTGCCGGCGACTCAACACGTTGATTTTCCATTCTCTGCAAAACCTCTACAAACTTCGGAGCAGTTTGTTTTCAAAAATTAACTATTTAAAGAGAACAGTACCACTGGGAATCATTGTCATTGGTAAAAGCCAATGATTTACAAAA